ACTGGAGGCAACATACTCAACATAATTAAGGTTATAGATAACAAACCCTCAGCCCACATCATTCTAAATGAAGAAATCCTGGGAACATTCCCATTAAAATCAGGAATCAGAAAAGGTTCTCCACTATTTCCACTCTTTTTCAATGTAGTGCTTGAAACTCTCACTAGAGCAATAAAACAAGAGTAGGAAATTAAAGAAGTACTAATTGGAAGAGGTCAAATTATCATATTTGCAGATAATATGATATTGAACATTGGCGATCCCAGAAATTCCACCAGAAAACTGCTATAAATGATTAATGACTTTAGTAAAGTGGCAGGTTACAAAACTCAACTTACAAAATCAGTAGCCTTTCTATATACCAAGAGCAATAAATTAGAGAAAACATTCAAGAAAACTCTCCCATTCATAATAGCCTCAGAAAATATTTAGGAATAAACCTAACCAAAGACATTAAAAATCTCCACAATGAAAATTTTAAATCATTAAAGAAAGAGGTGTCGATAGACTTTGGGTGATGGAAGAACCTATTGTGCTCATGTATTGTAGAATTGTGAAAATGACCATCTTACCAAAAGCAATCTGTAGATTCAATGAATGCCAATCAAAATCCCCATGACATTCTTCAGAGCTAGAAAAAAATCAACCTAAAATTCATATGGAATCATGTAAAGGCCCTGGGTAGCCAAAGCAATCTTGGCAAAAAGAACAACACTGGGGGATCACCATACTAGGTCTCAGATAATATTACAGAACTATAATCATAAAAACAGCATGTTATTGCCATAAAAGTAGACTTGTAGGTCAATGGAGCACAATAGAAGACCCAAACATGAGTACATGCAATTTCAGCCAGTTGATATTTGACAAAGGTGGCAAGACCACACAATAAAGGAAAGACAACATCTTCAACAAACGGTGCTGGAAAAACTGGATCTGCACCTGTAGAAGAATGAAACTGGACCCTGATCTTTCACTCTGCATAAAAGTCAACTCCAAATGGATCAAAGAGCTCCATATAGAACCTGAAACTCTTAAATTCCTAGAAGAAAATGAAGACCAAACACTACAAAATATGGGTGTAGGAAAGGAGTTTCTAAATTGGATATCAGTTGCTTAGGAATTAAGGTCAACAGTCAACAAATATGATCTCATTAAACTAAAAATCATCTGTACAGCAAAAGAAACAATCAAGGAAATGAAGAGAAAACACGCTGGGTGGAGAAGAATCTTCACCTGCTGCACATCTGAAAGAAGATTAATATCCAAAATATACGAAGAACTGAAACAAACAACAAACAAACAAACAAAAACCCATAGAAACAAGATAATAAAGGACCCAATAAAAAGATGGGTGCCACGGACTCCAAACCCCTTCGTCTTGGGGAGAGGAACAGAGGTCCGCAGCGATGGGGGTCGAGGAGGGGAAAGTGCGCTGCCCACCCGTTTCCCCAGCCCTTCTCTCCAAGGACAGTCAGACATGGCAGGGAGTCTGTCAAGCAGGAACTCGTTTATTATTAAGGCTGAACAATATTTAAAGGCAAAAACCACAAGCATAGCATAGGCGGGGAGGCCGGCATCCAATCAGCTCAGAGGCCAGTATTAGTATTAGCACGCAGGCCCTTCTCATAGCGCAGCTCAGTGTTCATGAGGTGATCATGCGTCCTTTACTGGCTGAGCTTCAATCAGTATTACTTTTCCTTACGGTTGTGTGCCAAGCTGGCCAGATGGCTCAGCCTTCACCTAAGCTACTCAGCGCAATCTTGTTATCACACCTCCACAGATGGGCTAAATAAAAATAAATAAATAAATAAATAAATAAATAAATAAATAAATAAATAAGATGGGCTGAGGATCTGAAAAGAGAGTTCTCAAAGAAATAAACTTGGCCAAGCAACACCTTAAAGGTGCCCAAATAATTAGAGAAATGCAGCTCAAACCACTTTAAGATTCCATCTTACCCCAGTCAGTCTGGCTAAGATCAAGAGAACAAAAGACACTAAATGCTGGCAAGGATGTGTAGAAAGGAGAACACTTGCTCATCCACTGCTGGTGAGAATGCAGACTCATGCAGCCACCAAGGAAAGCAGGGTGGAGAACTTTTTAAAAACTAATATTTAATCTACCATATGATCTGGTTATACCATTCTTTGTCATATAGTCAAAGGACTCTTCCTACTGTAGAGATACCTATTTGTTGCTGCTCTTTTCACAATAGCTAAGAAATGGAAACAACCTAAATGTCTCTCAATTGATGAATGGGTAATGAAAATGTGGTACATTTACACAACAGAGATCTACTCCATGGTCAATGTATTAGTCAGGGTTCTCCAAAGAAACAGAGCTGGTAGAATGAATATATATGTATAGAGATTTATCAGCTTAGCTCACAGTGTAGAGTCCTAGTAGTCCAACAATGGCTGCACCACATTGGAGAGGCTGAGAATCCATAGTTGCTCAGTTGACAAGGTTGGTTGTGTCAGTAGTCCCAATCTGGAGCTAAAGGTCTGACTAATTCCAAAAGACCATCTAGTCTTCAGTCTACAGCAGCAAGACGAACTTACCAGTGAGAGAAAAAGAAGCCAGGTGTTCTCCTCTGCCTTGGCCTTTTATATGGGCTGCCATCAGAAGGTAACACCCACATTTAGGGTGTGTCTTCCAGCTTCAGATGATCCAATCAAGAAGATCTCTCTCACTTCAGTTAATCCCAGATCCAGTCAACTTGACAGCCAGGATTAGCCATCACAGTAAGGAAAGATAAAATTAAGAAAATTTCAGGAAACTGGATGGAACTAGAAACTGTTATAATAAGTGAAGTAACAAACTCAGAAAATCAAGAAATGTATGTTCTCTCTCATTTGTGGAGCATAGTGCCAATCCCTTATATATGGGTATGTATCTTTATGTAACAGCAGGAGCCAAAAAATGGAAAGGAAACACAGAGGGAAAGGGAAAGAAAGAACCCAAATGAGGGGAATAGTAGGGAACATATTTTACTTGCAGGGGTAGAGTAGAGGTGTTCAGATACAATGGGAGGGGTAGGGATATGCAGACAACTGTGGGGTTGAGGGAAAAGAACTTAGGAGAGAAGGAATGGTAGGAGGTGGATGTTGTTGGAGGGGACGCTAGGGAAAATGGTGGTGCTTGGACTGGGGAGAAAGAAAGAAGGTTGGACAGGGGAAGAGAGAAGAGACATGAGTGGAGCTTGGGTGGTGCGGGAAGTCAGAGGGAAATTTATTGGCTCAGGAGTCCCCTGAGAAACACATTATGGTGTCTGAACATTAGTACATCTCTATATGTGGGGGCTATATGGCAAGGAGGACAGTGCCACACAGGTGAGACTTCCCATCAAGTTGTTGGTCAGTGTGTTCCAAGATACTCTCCCAATAAAACAGGCTATTGCAAGAGCCTTTGATTGTTTCACAGCCTGGCCCTCCGTCAGGCGTACTCTATCCACTCCTGCATGTGTAAAGATATGGGCCCTCAACCTTCTGCTCCAGCCACCTCTGCCACACCTGCTCTGCCATGATGGATTCATACCCCTCTTGTATTGTATGTAAGTCCAGTCAACTCTTCCTTCTGTAAATTTTGAATGGCAAAGGGAGAAAGGTGACACGGGGAGGATTAAGTGAGGCGGGGTTATGGAGAAGTAGGGGAGGAAATACGTGGAGGGATAACAAACTCTACAAGACTATTGGAGAACACATAGAGACCTGCTACTGTGAGGGTTTTCTAAAATATATGCATAAAAAGAGTATAAAAGGATTTACCCTATAATAGGGGTAACATACCCCCAGTAGAGGCCCCATCCTAAAAATAAAAGCCCCAGCAATAGAAATGGAATACTTTCCTTGAGTTATTAGTCAGTCGGGTCTCACGGACCCCAAACATTACAGGCTATTGTCATTGCTCTTGGTTCCCCTTTGGAATTTGACACTAAGACTCTGTTGCTGGAGACAACACATTCTTAGGTCATAATACACGGAGAAAACAAGTGAGTTCTGGTCTAGATGCTTCATCCCTACTGACTAGCTTCCAGAGTGCTAGAAGAGTGCTAGCTTCCAGAGTGCTAGAAGACACCAGGCACACTAGCAGAGAAGAAAGGTAATCATCAGGCCTCCTCAGCTGTGAACTCACTGAGAAACAGTAAAGACTGGCCTGGTAAGACATGGCCTCTAGGAAAAGAGTGGCATGGATGTTATGGGAGAAAGAAACTCATTGGATTAAACTCTGCTGCATGAGATGGAACCCATAAGTGTCACAGATACCAGGGCCAAGAACCTGTAGCTAGATAGGGCATGGAGCCTAGAGGAAGACCTGGGACTAAGTCTTACAGTATATGGCATTTAATACAGAGAAACACAACTTGTAAAGAAGTAGAGAATCAGAGACTGTAGAGTGTTCATCCCTAAACAGGACATTTATGTAACATCCTCATCACAAAGCTCAGGAATATTCAGGAAAAGTGCATTTGAAACATTCTAGGAGCCAGAGGTTGTCAGTGACTCTAAGGAAACACTGTTTTCCAGACAGCAGGGATCAAACATCGCATATGAGTTTCAAAGATTTTGTCAACATGAGTAAGGCTAATGTAAACTGAAGTCACAGGAATCCCAGCATGGAAGACTGGAGGTGGGTAAAATGTTTGTACGCTATCTGTGATACCATATTGCAAAATATCTCCCCAGCTGCAACATTATGAAAACACACACACACACACACACACAATCTCCCCCCAGAATAAAGAAGTGAGACACGCAGAGGGTACATATTCCCACTCCAGGAGAGACATTGCTGACAGAAGGGAGACATCATGACCCTGAGGTAATTTAAATGTCTCCGAGCAAGTGGTATCAGGTTTTAAGGCTGAGTGATAATCCTCTTACTCCCAGTGCTCTGCAGTCTTGACCCACTCGGGCAGCCGTACTACAATTGCCAACGTTTTTAGAGCACTTAATGGAAACAGTTTCTAAGAGTTACGATCCCAGACATCTTTGGCTCCACACATTGGACATTTTCTTCAGAGCTGAGGTGGACGGCACAGAGAGCCTCAGTTTTCCTCACATAACCCTGTCTTCCTTCCTTTTCCTCTGAGGTTATTTACTTCTTTATTTGCCCAGGATTGTTCTTTGCTAAGTCATGAGTCAGGCAGCCCCAAGGTAATCATCTCAATCTCACGCTCCTCTCCAGGGATAAATCAAATTTTTTGAGGTGCCTGAAGCCCACCAGTAGCGGGGAAGGATTCCTCTACTGGGCTCACGAGACGCTCTCTGAGTGCGGAGCAATCAATGCCGACACAGTCAAACATCTTAACTTTTTGATACCACTGGCACATGAGTGTGTATTCTGACTCATTCTGGAACTGGATATTTCTTTTTACCCTTTCTCAGAAGTAGTAAATCACTGACATCAGTTCTCCTTGGGATGATTTTAAAATTGGACATATTGTTTTCACTCATGGCTTGGAAGGAGCTGTGCTTGAGGACCGAATCCAGTTCTTCTGGTTCTAATTTCTTTCCCAGGAACTGGCAGATCTTCTGTATGGTTCCTCGTGTGTCCTAAAAGGAGAAGACGCACAGATGAAGGAAAGAAGGAGAAAGACGAGGACAGGAAGGCGTGAAGGAGGGAGCTGTGGAGGGAGGAAAGGATGCGGGAAGAGAAGTAGTGAAATGGGAACGTACTGAACTAGATGCAGGCACGAGGAGGGGCAGGGGCCGTCCACACAGTATGGATTTGGATTTTGGTTGACTTTAGTTCCTTAGGAGACAGAACTTGGGGTGTTTTTCTTTACCCACAAAGTTGGGGAGGTATATTGGAGATGTATTACCCTAGGTGGACAAAACCTTGCTGTGTAGTCAAAGACAATCTTGAATTTCTGATCCTCCTGCCTCCATCTCTGCAGTGTTGGGACTACAGGTATATGCACCACAAACCCCACATAACGCCCCGAGATTTTTTTTTTTTTTTTGAGACTGGGTCTCACTCTGCAGACTGGATGTCATGGAGCATCATAGGTAGAACGTTCTGTTCAACTCACGGATCTATCTGCCTATGCCTGCCTGGTGCTGGGATTATAGGCATGCATCTCCACGCCCAGCTTTCTGTGGCATTTTTGAAATATTTTATTTATAATTTTATGTGTTATGATGTATCACCTGCATGTGTTTGCATGCACCCATGTCATGAAATGCTCGTGGAAGTCAGAAGAGGGCGTCAGATCCCTTGGAACTGGAGTTAGGATGGTTGTTAGATGCCACGTAGGTCCCTGGAATTGAACCCAGGTCCTCTGCAAGAGCAACCAGTGCTCTCAACCACTGAGCTACCTCTCCAGTCTCTTTGGGTTTTTTTTTAAGAGACTGATAGAAATACAGACGCTTGATGAAGTCTATTGAAAGAGGGGTGCAGAAAAAACTTAACAAAGATTAAAATGGACACATAATAATACTGTTTTCTAAGGCAAACATGAAAAGAATACATACATTTTAAAAACATTTAACTTTCTCAATCATTATTACTGGTATATCATTCTGAGATACTCTGTTTTGCTTTGCTTTGCTTTGTTTTCATTTTTGAGAGAAGATCTCAACTCAAATTGGCATCAAATTCACAATCCTCCTGCCTCAGCATCGTAAGCACTAGGACTACAGTGATACTCTAAGGTGACTGGCCTAAATCCAGCACATAATTACAAGAAAATGGAATCTTAGAACACTGAAGATTTTACTTTGAATCTCAGCTCTTTCCCTTAGGACCGTAATGATTTTATTGGTTCTTTTACAAACTTTTTATTACATGAACCTCAGTTAATAATTACCAGGAAGTCAGAGAACCGTTACAGTGACTGAAGAGTACATTGTATGATTTCTGAGGCTTGTGGAAAAATGGACAGAATACAAGAGAGATAGCTAGGAAACAGAGCTTACTTGGGAAAATGAAATTTCCTAAGGACATAAAAGATTGTACACAAACAGGCAAAGGAATACAACAGAGGTTTTACTTCTCACATGGAAGAAAAAGTCTGTGTTATTTTCTGTTTCTGATGAGATAGCAATCAAAAGGCATGTTCTTTTCAAATGATATCATCACTCATATGGTTTTGTTATGTGGTATTTTCTTTAAAAATATTTCCAAGCATTAATTTTTTTCTCTTTGGTCTTTTCCGACTGAATCTCATATACCCACGGTCAGCCTCAAACTCACCATGTAACCAAGGATGAACTTGGACACTTGATTAACTTGCCTCTATCCCCAAGTGCTGGATTGAGAAGCATGTACCTCCCTGCACATCTCTGTTTTTTTTTTTTATTAGAATGTGCTTTAGATCAGCCCATAGTTATTGTAAATATTTATAAAATTTAATGTGGCATCTCAGCACATATTAAGCATTTACAACATCTAATCAGGATATTGGCAAGCAATCAATTCAAACACATTTCATCACTTTATGTAGCAAATATTCTTCATTGAATCGTTTGAATTTTCCAGTGAATTCCAGGCAGCCCTGCTAATCCTCCTGTGCTGCAGAACACTGGAGTTATCCTTCCCGCCTGCCCATCTGCAGCCTGGCATATCTCAACAGGCTTTTTTTCACTGTCTATTTTTCAATGAATTTTTGTGCATTTCATACAATATTGGTGCTGCTGGATGAGGGAGAGTTGATATTTGAGGGAGTGATGCTAGACAGACTGAATGGGCTCTAGTGGATGAACTCATTGAGGGATATCTGGGTACACAAACATGATAGGCCTCGGCAGGTATGACAGAATCCATGAAATCCTTTTGGGCAGGATCCAGGGGGTTGAGATAGGGGAGGAGGCCTAAATATGATTACGATGTTAAACCTCACCAGTTCTGAGAGTCACTCAGCGCCTTTTTGTCACGGTAGCACTTTGCCTCCCACAATATTCACAGACTGATTCATGATTCCATCCCTTCTCTCAGTCAAGGGGGATTCCACGAACTTGGGCACATTTTTGGAAACTCACTACTTTATAAGCTAACTTAAAGTATAAAGGGTTTGAATGGAAGCACCTTGTATGGGTGGATATTGCTGGTGCCAGGAGCCCAAAGTTACTAAATGAAAACCTCAGTTCCACGGGTGAGCTACCACCCTATGACCTTCTGTGAGGAAATCACCAGAGGCTCCACACAGTACAGGCAGCTTCCACGGAAGTGGGTTGTCAATAAAAACTAGATGGTAAGGCCTTGATGCTGACAACACCCTCATGTTTTTTCATAGGTCACGAGGAAGTCGGGCTGGGATGGAGTAGGCACTCCTCCCTACTGGATTGCCTCATAATTCCAGGTGTTATGCAGCCCACTGTGGGGGAGATTCACATCGTAGTCTTACTCAGCTGTAATCATTACAAGTCTGCTGTGAGGTAAACCTCACTGCATTTCCTGATCAGAATCATGGTTCACTCTACAGGAGCATGTTCACATCCGGTACTACATACATGATAAAAGCTCATGGTTACTGAGGCCATAGGACTAGTGGGCAAGCTACTGCTGCTGTTCACTAAATGAACATGAGGTGCACACCAAATTGCCTCCTAATTGGCTGTGCTTATTGTCAATGATTACTGCTGTCAGCTTTGGTCAAAGATGCTTTGTGCAGTGGGCAGTGGTAATCACGGGTTCATACTAGTCAGAGTGCAGAGGGTAAGTGAACGTTAGGTGCTCACCCTAAATGAGATGTCTGTAGGCCCCCTGAAAGACCTAGGGAGAACAAAGGAAGTGGGAGTGGAAATAACGTAGGAGCCTGTAGATGGGGGTCGGTGTTGAGGAACTCTGTCTTCTGGACATGGTATGGTCGTGACACTTGAGCTGACAGCAGCTATGATTACTTGAAGAAACCTACATAAAAATGGGCTTATCAATAGTTTCTGTCACTGAGGAAGAGACTCACAAGGTCCCATCCCTTCCCTGAGGATTTAGGCAGTAATCAGTAGCTACGTGGTGGGGGGGGGTCTCAAGAGGCTCCATCTTTTGGGGATCTATAGGCAGGTAATGGTTGCAGGTAGAGGGAGAGATCTTTTTCTTCAATGTAACCATGGTGATGTGTACATGTTCCTTTAAATAACTCCTCACTTTTTCTCCTATAGCAAGCGTAATGAAACTCATTAATTCACACAAATAATAAAGAAAATAAAGAGAAAGGGGCACAAAAGCAGAGGGTTCAGTTATTAAGAGGAAAGGGGAAGGAGAACAAGAGAGTGTGGTGGGGTGAATATTATCAGAACACATGTACACTTGTATGACAAAGTCATGAACAAACCCACTGTTCTGTATGATCTATGTAAACCAATGAAACCTTTTAAAATTTAGTATAGAGAATCCATATGTATGCAAATACTTTATGACAGGAAAAGAAGACAGACAATAAGAGACTGCAGAGTGTGTGTCTCTGGATAGGACTCCTGTATTACATCTCCCCCACCCACAGCTCAGAGACCATAGCAGAAGAGGGGCAGAGAGACTGAAAGAGCTAGAAGTGGTGGATGACCGTGAGGAAACACAGTCATCCAGACCTCTTGGAACTTGCTCATATGGCATTACAGCAGAGGTGACAGCATGCACAAGACCCATGCAGACTCATCCCAGACAAAAACACAGGATGGAGCTGGGGGGATGGGTAAGGAGCCCCAACGTTAGCCAAGGAATTATTGGCAGCTGATCACTGCTTGGGGAGGGAAACTTGATCTTCTTTAGCGAGTGATGCTAGACAGACTGACTAGATTCCAGTGGATGAACTCACACTGAGGGACATCTGGGCACACAGACTTCATTCAATGGACCTTAACAAATATGGGGGAATGTGTGAAATACTTTGGGGGGTATAGGAGGGAGCAGATGGAACAGAAACTTGATCTTCTTTAGCGAGTGATGCTAGACAGACTGACTAGATTCCAGTAGATGAACTCACACTGAGGGACATCTGGGCACACAGACTTCATTCGATGGAACTTAACAAATATGGGGGAAAGCGTGAAATACTTTGGGGGGTATAAGAGGGTGCAGATGGAGAAAGGGGTCCAAATATGATTAAGATGTACTTTAAGAAATACACAAAAATTAAAGTATAGATTAAAACTAGTAAATTTTTTAAAAAAGAAAAGATTCAGTATTTTGGAAAAAGTACTTTAACTAAGTTGTGGAGGGTCAGGCTTTTGCATGGAAGCCAAACAGTAGAGGTTCAGAAAACCACAAATGAGGAGCGTGGTAATAAGAATATGAATATCAGTTTCAGGTTCTAACTCCTGGATTCCAAACGGTGCCGTGATGGTGTATCATGGTGCAAGTTGTGGCTGGGCTCAGTCCTGTGGCTGTAGATTAAAGCAGGAAGGCTTGGAAAATCTGGATTTCAATGGCGTTGGAGCCTTGGACACATAGGTTGGTTGGATTTAGAGGGGTAGGATGGGGCCAAGGGAAGACTAAGGAAATGGGCTGGAGGGCTGGGGAGGCAGCTAAGATGATGGAGTGCCTGGGTAACACGCACGAAGATATGGGTTTTATACCCAGGACTACACAAGTTGAGGAAAGCAGTTCGTACGGGTAATCCAAGGAGTCAGGAGTGGAAGCAGGTGGGTCAGAGGTTTAGGGTTACCTTCAGTTACCTGCAGAGTTCAAGGTCGGTCTAAGGTACAAGCAACCATGTCTGCAATTGAAGAATCTGAACGTTCCGTAAGTTCCTGTATTTAATACACGCTCACCATTTCCTTTGATGAACCATTCAAAATAATGTTCCAGTGGCTCTAGATTCTTAAAATAATTAGAATTACTCCAGAAAAAATAACCAGACACAAGAACATCTCTGGGATTTCTGATCAGATAAATCACCTTAAGTGGAAAAACGTGTAAATGAACGTCAATACAGTCCTTCCTCACTCTTTACTAAAACAGTTTGTATGAATTATGGTTTAAATATCCATAAACATTTACTGTATTCCTCAGAGCATTAATTAATCAATTATCATACTAAAGTTTCTATGAATTGCTCACTAAGCTCGGGGTATACCAGTGGAAACAAATCTAGTGTACATTAGTCTTCTCGGTGTGTGAATGTGCTGTTTTGAAAAGGAAGCTTCTAGAGTAGATGTGGTGCACACATCTGTACTCCCAACATTTGGGAGCAGGAGGGAGAAGGAGGAGCTCAAGGCCATTTTGACTCCAAAAGAAATTCAGGATAGCTGGTGACCTAAGGTGTTGTCTCCAAAAATGGTGAGTTTTATTTGTAATTGTGTGCTACAATGTAGAGATGACTTGCACAAAAATATGTTTTAAATTATTCCAAATTCATAAATACATAAGGAGTATTCAGTCATACACAGCATCACGACCATGCATGAATAGCAGAGACATTTCCATCACTGACAGAACCCACATTTCCAAGTTCATAAATCATGACTCTATTTAGATGAAATTCAAGACAAACACAACACAACGTGTGCTTGTAAGAAAGATGGTTGTGATGGGTGACTCTATAAGGAAGGGGCATGGGGAACCTTCTGAGGAGGAGAAATATGGTAAATCTCACCTTTATCATCGTTAACCATCTTTACATACACATATATACTTATCCATCTAGTTTTTGTGAACTATGCAGACACACAGTTAAGAACTGTGTATTCAGGGTTAGAGATGGCTCAGAGGTTGTGGTTGATCTTGCAGAGAACACAGGTTCAATTCCCAGCACCCAGATCAGGTGGTTAGCAAACATCTATAATTCCAGTCCAGGATGCCAGATGCCCTCTTGCCTCCGTAGGCTCCTGCATGCACATGGTTCCCATAAACTTACACAGGCACACAGACATCCACATCAAATAAAAATAGTATTAAAAATTTTTGGTAACGTCTTTTCCGTACTATTCCCCTCTTTTCATTTCTTTCTTTTCCCTTAAGTAGGTGTATCCTTTCCATTTTCCTGACTTCTGGTGTTACGTCAGGAACTGGTGCTCCAACCTTCAAATGAGGGAGAACAAATGTTGCTTGCCTTTCTGCCTTTGTTACCAGTGGGAGGTGGGGAAAGTGGGGTGCTTGGCTGGGAAGGGTGGAGGGAGGGAGGGACATGCAGGGGGCTGCAGTTTGTAGAAGAGAAGTCAGGAAGGGGGGCACGGTGGGAGGTGGGTATTATTGCTGGAGGGTGGGGATGTTCAGGGTTCTGGGACTGGAGAGGGAGTAGGGATGTTGGATGGGGGGAAGAAAAGAGTGGAGATGAATGGATCTTGGGGACTAGGGAAACTGGAGGAAATGTGATGCCCTGAAATCCCCTGAGAAATGCACATACAGTGTCTGAACATTAGTGCATATGTATACCTGGGAGCTGCTGGAACACAGTGCAAGACAGAAGAGACCTTCCTTTAAGAAGTGTGGGAAGGTGGTTCAGGAGACTCCCAAAGTAACACAGGCTATTGCCAAACCTCTTGGTATCCCTCAGAAGTACAAGATAAAACCCTACTGATGAAGACAAGACATACTTATCCGATACGGAACTTGAAGCAATGGAGCAGGATCTGACCTAGAAGCCTTCTAACTGAAGTTTGACTATCATAAGGCTATATGATAATATACAAACTGCAAAAGAGAGAAAATCAATCAATGATCCAACCCAGCCCTAAAGCCTAAAAGCCATAACGACTGGAACAGCAAACTACATCTATTGGTGCAGTAGCGACACTGCTATCTGGGGGTGATCAATAGCTATCTAATTGAACTTAAAGCCCTCTCACAATGGGAGTGAACTCATGGGTGGCACTGTATGTACAACCAAATACACATAGATCCTACAGGAAACACCGTCTCTGTCATACCTCTAGACAAATGAAATTTCTTCCCATATGTAAATATTTATATTTATTTACAGACAAGCATACTGTATAGCATTCATCAAAGAATCTTCTTTCTGCAACAGATGGAGGTTACTGCAGAATCCCACAACTGGTCAGACACAGAAAATATATGTCTGAGAGGTGTCCTAGGTGAAACATCTACAGTTGAACCTCTACACCTAAGGCTCATAGAACATAATAGAATGAGGGGCAAAAAGAAAACTAATGCCTCCCTCAACTCTCACCAGTGAAGCTTCCTTATACAACAGAGTGTGATGCTCACAGAAGGCTGCAACTCTCCAAGTTTCAAAGAACAGGAGACTGCAGAATGCGTATCCCTGGATAGGACTCCGATATGAAAACGTACTCACCCATGACTCAGGGACCATCTCAGAAGAAGGAGTGGAAAGACTGTAAGAGCCAAGACTGGCCAGGTTTTCAGGCCACTGGAAGCTTGCACATGTGAACTTGTGGCAATGGTGGCATCGAGGACAAGACCCATTCCAAATCAACCAGACAAGGTACCAGAGTGGAGCAAAAGAAATGGGTGGTGGGCCGACCCCAGAATGGGAGCCATTGGAGACTGATTACTACTGGGTGAAGGATAGTATGCCTTTTTTACAATATCTAGATACGCTGACTGGTCTCCATTGGATGGCTTTGCACTGAAGGATATCTAGGTACAAAGGCTTGACTGGATAGGACTTAACAAGCAGGGCAGAATACATGAGGTCCACTTTGGGGTTTGGGGAGCCATGGCTGGGGGTAGGAGTCTAAATCTGATTAAGAGCTGTTGTTTGAAATGTACAAAAGCTCAATAAATGTTTTCTAATCTTTGTATCTTGTACCAGTTCTCTATGTGACATTACTGTAGACCTCATCTGTTTAGGCTTCAGTTGCCCCAACCAAAACATTACCTAACCCAAATTGCACGTCTTCAAAAAGGTGCATGGGCACAACTTCATTGTGAAATTTTGAGAGACTTTTTTTAATGTTAGTCTTTGAAGTTTAAGCATAAAATGTTTCTAAAGTACCTAGTAAGTAATCTTCTAGAAAACTTTCTTAATAACAATGAACCATATAGATTAAATCCTGGATATCCCTGGTCCTCTGGTGATCCTCAGTCAGCCATGTGGCTACTGATCTCAATTGATGGCAAGATAGTGTTTACAAAACCAGCTGCAACTGCAGAACAAACCTCCCATGACTTTGGGGATGTGTTGATGCATAAATATGATGTGTTCCTTATAAAAGCACTAACTTGCCTGATTCACATCACAGTGTTGGAGGCACTGATTGAATTAAGACTGGCCTATTTTCTCTATAACACTAAAACAGTGGTAATCAACGCTATACTAGAGTTTTAAACTCTGCTTAGGTTGCTATGTGGTTTCCCAAGACTCTAGTATTCTTTCCTCCAAAATATGACTAGGATGATCTATGGGAAATTTCACATTCCGGAACTCTAAGGTGGACTTACTAGGGACCACATCAGCATCACCTGCTGCATAATAACCTGCTCTCACTCAGACTTACTCAACATTTCAAGGCATATCAGGCACAAGGAAGTTCAAATAGCATTTGATCAACATTGTCAAACACTAGGCACTGACCTTGGCATTGGAACTGAAGAAAGACTTGGGGAAAAGTTGGATGGGGAGGTGGGACCTGATGAGGTGTGGGCCTTTCTGGTCCTTTAATTTTAAATATCCAAAAATATACTCTATCCAAGGTAAGCAGTCCCAGGTGGGCATAGATTGGATCCACTTGGGATCCCCTTTGGTCTGAATTAAGCAGACAATCTCAGACAACCAGTTTGTTCCTGAACAAGACAGAAAATTATGGGCACAAATTTCAGCAAGACTTGTGAGAAAATATGGTGTAGTATGTGTGTGTCATAAAATTTATTTTTTCTACTGTTTCCAAGCACACACCCCTATGGTGTTAAATATATTCTCACGCTGTAAGTGCTAAGCGTATTTACTCAACAAATCTCTAGTTTTTATTCTTGCAAAAC